CCAGCCTGGGTAACAAGAGTGAAACTCCGTCTCAAAAAAAAAAAAAAAAAGTGCTTTTCATAAGATTTTCTTTGTCTATTTCCTTTAAATGAGTGTAGTCAGCTGCATTTTCTTTTTCGTGGAGGTTCTAAGTATTCCATTTAGCTGTTGACTGGCATGCTTACTGAAAGACTTTTGGACACTGGCAGGATAGGCCACCACAAAATATGCCAGTTTGGCATAAGGATTTTTTTGAGCTGAAGGCAATTGAGAAGAAACAGATAAAGGAACTCTGCCCTTCCTCAAGGTTTTTTTTTTGAGACGGAGTCTCACTCTTGTCACCCAGGCTGGAATGCAGTGGTGTAATCTTGGCTCACTGCAACCTCCACCACCCAGGTTCAAGCAGTTCTCCTGCCTCAGCCTGCTGAGTAGGGTTATAGGCACCTACCACCATGCCTGGCTAATTTTTGTACTTTTAGTAGAGGTGGGGTTTTGCCATATTGGCCAGGCTGGTCTCAAATCCCTGACCTCAGGTAATCTGCCCCCGTTGGCCTCCCAAAGTGCTGAGATTTCAGGCATGAGCCACCATCCCCAGCCCCTTTCTCTGTTTTTCTAAAAATGGGGCATAAATGTACAAAAGAGCCCCATCTTCCCTCTCTTACCAGGAAGATAAAAGTTCATCATCACAGACAACTTTAGACCCTTATCAGCCTACATAACAAATTTTACTAGCTATTCTTTATCTCCAATTAGTTTCCCATGTATTTGCCTTACCACAATATTTGCTGCCGTTAGAGACTCATGGTCCTTTTCCTTTGTCTTGTTACTTCTCTAAAAATTTATTGTACCTTCAGGAAGATAAGCCTAAATCTTTATTTTATTTTATTTATTTATTTATTTTGAGACAGAATCTGGCTCTGCTGCCCAGGCTGCAGTGCAGTGGTGCAGTCTTGGCTCACTGCAATCTCCACCTCCCAGGTTCAAGCGATTTTCCTGCCTCAGCCTCCCGAGTAACTGGGAGCTGGGAATACAGGCGAATGCCACCATACCTAGCTAATTTTTGTATTTTTAGTAGAGACAGAGTTCACCATGTTGGCCAGACTGGCCTCAAACTTCTTTTTTTTTTTTTTTTTTTTGGTCTCAAGCTTCTTACCTCAAGTTATTTTACCCCGGCTTCCCTAAATACTGGGATTATAGGTGTGAACCACTATGCCCAGGCCCCAAATCTAACCAGTTTTGAGTTACTACTCTCTGGACTCTCCTGTGTTACAGGCACTATGCACAATTAGTGAACTCTTTTTCTCTTGTTAATCCATTTTTACCAGTCTAATTTATAGGGCTTCAGCCAAGAAACCTAAGAGGGTAGCAGAAAAAAGAATTTTTCCTCCCTTATACCCTAAGGCTACCTATGCCACAATGCGTGATTTTGTAATAGTGTCTTAAAATCTTACTGTAAATAGAGTGGGTGTAGCACTCAGATGTAATGTTTTTTTTTGTTTTGTTGTTTTTTTTTTTGAGACGGAGTCTCACTCTGTCACCCAGGCTGGCATGCAATGGCACGATCTTGGCTCACTGCAACTTCTGCCTCCTGGGTGCAAGCCATTCTCCTGCCTCAGCCTCCCAAGTAGCTGAGATTACAAGTGTCTGCCACCACACCCGGCTGGTTTTTTTGTCTCAAACTCCTGACCTAGTGATCCACCTACCTTGGCCTCCTAAAGTACTGGAATTACAGGCATGAACCCCCCACGCCCGGCCTCAAACTGTTTTGTTTTTTTTAAACTTCTGATCTTGTGAACGACCCGCCTCAGCCTCCCAAAGTGCTGGAATTATAGGCATGAGCCACCAGCCCAGATAAAACGTTTTTAATGATTTATGTGAGATTAAATTGTCATTGATGTGGTGAAAAATTGACTCTGTTAAGTATATGTTTGCAAGAGGCTATGTTTTCTATTGGTTTTTCAGTGTTAAAATTTAAGGACATTTTATTTATTTTTAATGTTTTACTTTTTTTGAAACAGTGTCTCACTTTGTCACCTAGGCTGCAATGCAGTAGCATGATCATGGTTCACTGCAGCTTTGATCTCCCTGGACTTAGGTGATCCTTTCACTTCAGCCCACCAAATAGCTGGGACTACAGGTGGGCACCACCATGCTCAGCTAATTTTTTTTTTTTTTTGTATTTTTTGTAGAGCCAGAGTTTTGTCATGTTGCCCAGGCTGGTCTTGAACTCATGGGCTCAAGTGATCTGCCTGCCTTGGCCTCCTAAAGTGTTAGAATTACAGGCATGAGCCACTGTGCCTGGCCTAAGTACATTTTAAAATGTAGTAACTGCTGGGCGCGGTGGCTCACGCCTGTAATCCTAGCACTTTGGGAGGCCAAGACGAGTGGATCACAAGGTCAAGAGACCGAGACCATCCTGGTCAACATGGTGAAATCCCATCTCTACTAAAAATACAAAAAATTAGCTGGGCATGGTGGCACGTGCCTGTAATCCCAGCTGCTCAGCAGGCTGAGGCAGGAGAATTGCCTGAACCCAGGAGGCAGAGGTTGCGGTGAGCCGAGATCGCGCCATTGCACTCCAGCCTGGGTAACAAGAGCGAAACTCCGTCTCAAAAA